TCTCCCAAACTTTTTCTTCCCTCCCACAGAACCCAGACCCTGTTCTTCCCAAAGCCTTCTGGGCTCTGGTTGACACCAAGCCTGTTATCTCTTCTCCAAGCTGGGGAGAAGTCAGATGTAGAGACCAGCTCTGCGAAGATGCTGTTGTCCACTGGGCTGCCAGGCACCCACAGAGTCAGGTCCTTCTAAGCAGGAAGGTTGGAAGCCTCTGATGTCATCAGTCCTTCAAACCTGGCAACATGTTTGAAAGAAAACACAAGTAACTTCCAGACTGACATGCACACTTGTCTGGAAATCTGGGGTAAACGGTACCTCCTGCCACTTACCTCTGACCATTGTCCAAGGTCAACTGTCCTTGGGGTCTCCAGATCCCTGTTTCCCCCTCTCCAGCAGAAGCCGTATTCTCTCCACTCTAAACTTAAAGAAGCATATTGGGCTCTTCTCCCTCTGTGCTGCCCCACCTCAGCATACAGTTGAGTGGCATTAAGGACAGTCACAATGTTGTGCAACCACTACCACCATCCATCTCCAGAACTTCAGCCCCAGCAGAAACTCTGTTCCTATGAAAGGCCAACTCCCCATATCCCTCTCCCCAGCCCCTGGCAACTGCCATTCTACTTTCTGTCTCTATGGATTTGACTACTCTAGGGACCTCATTTGCCCCACATACTGTGGGATCATACAGTATTTGCCCTTTTGTGTCTGGCTTATTTCACTTAGTGTAATGTCCTCAAGGTTCTACCATGTTGTAGGATGTGCCAGAATTTCCGTCTTTGTTTTAATACTGAATAATAGCCCATTGTGTATATACCACCTTTTTTTCATCCACTCATCCATCTGTTGACATTTGGGTTGTTTCCACATCTTGGCTCTAAGTCTTACTTTTATCCATTGGTGGAACTTATTGACAAGAAGCACATCTGTTATTGAGGCTGTGCCTAAAGGTTTATTTTGTATTTTTGTTAATGAACCCACAAGGGGGAGGGAGGGTTCAATGTTGCCCACGGCACAGAAAGCCAATAACTGAGAGAGCAAGGATTTCTCAAGCTATCACCTCCTTTGCCAACCTGTCTATGGTATAGACAAGGGTCCCATGGTCTGTGCCTGAGGGGTTACAACATTTCTTAATGAGATAATCTAAATAGGGTGGTGCAGAAAAGACTGTAATAGTCGAATTTTTATAATTGGTTGTCAATTTAGAGAGACCGATTGCCCAGTAGAAAGGACACTTATGAGAGTATGTGTCCCTACTGTCACCTTGTACACAACGTCTGTTAAGGGGCTGGGTGAGAAAGAAACATGGGACCTCTGAGTATGGAGTTATTAGTTGTACCTTGTAGGTGATGCGAGAGACAGGCTTCTGTAAGTTCAGCATACAGGAGGGTACATTAGTGAAATTGCATACAGGGACAACTGTACGGTCAGAATGGTCTTGCGCTGAAGGAGGTGTAGGATGACAGACCCAGCAGCTAGACAGGTTGGCAGAGGAGGTGATAGCTTGAGAAATCCTAACTAAAGAATCGTCTCACCAGGCAAGCAAAAATTCCCAAGGAACAAATAAGATGCATAGGGTATATAATTTCATGTTACTTACCTCTTTCGCAGGAGAGTAAATTTAGGTCCTCTAAGGGCTCACAAACCCACTGCCCCTTCAGTCTCTCAGAAGGTGGTGAATCCTGCAGGCGTGGGGTCTCTGGTAGGGGTGCCTCTTTTATCCGAGTGTGATGAATCTGCAGCTTGACTCCTGCGAGTTTAACAGATGAGTGAGTTGTCAGGAGAGCTTCAAACAGGCCGATGCACTGTAGCTGTGGTTTATCTTCAGGATGCTGATTTCTCCAGGTTTGCACCGTGTCTCCTGGCTTTATGGAATGAAGGGGCACATCCATCGGAAACTAAAGTGTGGGAAGCAAACTTAGAAATAGGACTTAGCATGTTACCAAGCTGTTTTACATACAAGCAAGCTTCCATCTCTGGGGCAGACGAGCATTGACTGAGCCCTGGCTGGAAGCTCTTAGGCACGGTCTCCCATATAAAATTTCAAAGGGGCTAAGAGCCAGCTTCCTTCTAGGGGCCACCCGAATTCTCAACAGGGCAAGAGATAACACCTTGTCCCAAGTTAAACTCGTCTCTTGACAAATTTTGGGGAGAGCCTTTTTTAAAGTTCTGGTCATCCGTTCAGTTTTCTCTGAAGACTGGGGGTCTCCATGATGAATGCATTTTCCAATTGATTTCTAAAATTCTTGATATTTCTTGGGTGATTTCGGCAACAAAGCCTGCTCCATATCACTTGGGAGAGTTGATGGAAGTCTAAACTTAGGAATAATTTCCTTTAAAAGGGCTTTAGTGACTTCTGATGCCCATTCAGTCCTGGTGGGGTAAGTTTCAACCCATCCTGAAAAAGTGTCAACAAAGACCAGCAAATATCGAAAGTTTCCAGGGACTTGCCGCGTCGTGGTAAAGTATGCCTGCCAGTCTTCTCCTGGGAAACTCCCTCTCCATTGCGTTCCTTCCTTTAGGGGTGGATGTAAGGTTCCGGAAAGCTTTGGGTTATTTTTCAAGCACATAGGGCAGCTTTGAACTACTGTCTGAATAGTTCTCTGTGAGTTGGGCCCAGCTATATGAGGCTGTATCCATTGCAAGGTGGCATCTCGTCCAAAATGGGTGCTTTAATGAATCTGCTCAAGCTCTGGTCTGACAAGAGTTTCAGGAAGGAGAACCTTCCCTTCCATGTTTGTGAGCCAATTTTGATCATTATACTTTGAAAATCCCCATTCTTTAGCTCTTTCTAGATCTTTTTCAGAATGTTGGGGATCATGTTTATGTAATTGTAGAGAGAGAATTAGAGTCAATTGACAATTTGTTAGGCTGCCCTTTTTGCCATTAAATCTGACGTAGTATTTCCTTTTGTAATATGAGTGTCTGTTTTCTGATGTCCCTGGCAGGGCATGATGGCTCTCTCCTTAGGCAGTAAAACTGTTTTTAATAATTCAAGAATCTGAGGCCTATATTTAATTTCTTTATTTTCAGAAGTAAGATATCCTCGCTCCTTCCAAAGAGCTCCATGAGCATGCGCCACCATAAAGGCATATTTAGAATCTGTATATATTGCTATGCTTATTTTTCCCATGATGTGGGGCTCTGGTCAATGCAATCAATTCCGCCTTTTGGGCGGACATCCCTGTGGTTAGGACTTGTGCCTCAATTACCTGCTGGCTGGTAACCAAAGCACACCTGGCTTTGCATTGTCCATGCTACATGAAGCTGCCCTCATGTGTGAAGAACTCCTTATCCGGGTCTGCCAAGGGCTGATACGTCAAATCCGGGCAGCTAGAATATACTTGGTCATGATTTGAATGCAATCATGAACTGGGGAGTGAGAGTCCATAGGCAACAAGGTGGTGGAATTCAAGGTGGACACTGCCTTTAAAGTTACATTAGGATTATCTAACAGAGTAGCTTGATATTTGCCCAACCATCCAGCCATTGACCAATAGCGCCCCTTCTGTTCTAGTAGGAGTAACACATAATGTGCAGTGTGAACAGTTACCAGCTGTCCAAGCATAAACTTTTCAGCTTCTTGTAAAATATCACAAGTGTGGCAGCAACTGCTCTTAGACAAGTGGGCCATCTTTTCACTACTACATCTAAAAGAAAAGGCCATGGGACACTTATGAGCTCCCACAGGTTGGGTTAATACCCCCAGTGCAATTCCTTGTCTCCCTTGGATGAACGATTCGAAAGGCTTGTGCACATCTGGGAGGCCCAGTGCAGGGGCAGTCATCAGTTTTTCTTTAATAGTTAAAAAAGCCTTTTGACATTCTCCTGTCCATGTAAGGGGCTCTTTTTCCTGTCCTTTCAAGGCTTCATAGAGAGGTTTGGCTATTAGGCCAAAGCTAGGAATCCAAATCCGACAGAGCCCTACCATACCCAGGAATCCTGGCAGCTGCTTGCAAGTGGTGGGGACTGCTACCCGGTGACAGCCCCCTCCGGTCTGGAAGGAGGTTTTGAATCACTGAGATGATTCAAATCCCACGTATTTGATAATGGGCAATGAGATTTGGGCCTTTTTCTGGGATGTTTTATATCCTTTGTCAGCTAAGAAATTCAATACAATTATAGCATGTTGCCTTGATTCAGCTTTAGTCTTGCTTGCAACGAAAATGTCATCTACGTATTGTAAAATTACTTCCTTTTCTAGAATTATTTTTCTTACATCTCTGGCTAGAATTTCTCCAAAGATGGTTGGAGAATTTTTAAGTCCCTAGGGGAGGACAGTCCAACAGTATTAACATTTGGTTTTAGTCCTTAAATCAGCCCATTCGAAAGCAAAGCGTTCTTGTGATTCAGGAGCAAGGGGAGTGCAAAGAAGGCATCTGTTACGTCTGTCACTGAATACCAAGCAAAATTGCCAGACAGAGTGGCGAGAAGAGTATAAAGATTAGGCACCACAGGACGAATGTCTTCCACTATTTGGTTTATTGCTCTCAGATCCTGAACAAATGGATATTCCTGAGTTCCAGGTTTTTGAACTGGCAAAATGGGAGTGTTATAAGGAAAATGACAAGGCCAGAGAAGTCTATATTTTAAAAAGGCCATAACTAGGGGTTGAAGGCCCTCCCTAGCTTGAAGCTTTAATGGATACTGCTTGAGTCAAGGGGGAGAAATTCCTGGTTTTCCCTTGACATGAACAGGATCCACATGTGCCCTTCCAGGTTGTCCGGTAGCCCCTACCGGGGTTGGCTTGTTTGAGGACTTCAGAGGGTAGCTCTTGAGGGACAGCCAAGGGAGTGAGCAGAGTTGCTTGCAAGACACAGGCATGTTCTGGGGAACTGCAGTATGTGTTTGTTTATTCTGAAATGTCACTGGAATCTGCAGTTTAGAGAGAAGGTCTCTACCCAGCAATGGGAGAGGGCACTCAGGCATGTACAGAAAGCTGTGTGTGAGGCAGGAATTCCCAATAGCACAATCCAGTGGCTGGAGAAAATATTTCTGGGAGGGTTCTCTGGATACCCTGGTCGCCGGCATTGAGTCTTTAGTAAGCTTAGCCAATTTAAAGTTTAAAACTGAATAGGTTGCACCGGTATCCGTCAGGAAATGAGTCAGATTTTCTCCCAATTTTATGGTTACCCTGGGCTCCTGGTGGGAGGAATGAATCACAGGCTGTAATTCCCACAGATTATGGGGAGCCCTAAGGACCTGTCATTCCATATCTTCTGCATTCAGCCCCATCCATTGTACAGCAGGTTCCTGTCACTCTTTTGTTGTAACTTAGGACAATTCTTTCTCCAAGGACCCTTCTCTTTGCAGTAGGCACATTGGTCCTTTTTTTTTCCTAA